TCCCTGAGACAGTGAAGGTGAGTTTTTCAGTGCTAACACAAATTCAAGTTAAAAAAAAAAAACAGTTTGCACGTGTTTTTGAATGTCTCAGTTGTTGTTCCCTCCTCAAAGCTCCATAAAATTAAGATTCTACAACCCTTTGTCGATTTACCATTTTGCCCCTTCCATTGCTCGGTTTTTCAAAATTGGAAATAAAATTTAAGTCCTTTGTGTTTACGAAATTGTATTGTGAACCTTTATTCTCTTGAATTGCTGGGTAGCACGCCACAATTTTCGCTTATTTATTTTTGGAACTCGAGGAAGTTTTTCGATGTTTATTTTTATAAACTGATCAATTTGTTTTAATTATGACATATGTTACTTTCAAGTGGCGTTTTATGATGTTACGTTTTTTAAGAATTCGTTTACAAAATATATATATATATATATATATATATATATATATATATATATACACAAAATGTTATTACTACATATTATTAAAATACTGATTAATTTCAACTTTTTTAAAATAATTTTTCAATTTTAAAGTAATTAAAATAAAAAATAAAATATAATTTATATAGATTATTCCACATTGATATATAAACATGACTTTTTTTTTATTATTCATAAAATTGTCAAGAATGGTACGAATAAGCTTAGTAAAAACTTGGTGGCTTAACTACTCTATATTTTCAAATTCATTTAATTTTTTAATAATTTATTGATTTAAAATATAATAATAAATTTTAATCAATAAATACTATTTTAATATTTATTTTAAAATAAAATAATCGTTTATTAAATTAATTTATATATATATATATATATATTTAAATAAAAAATATTAATTTTTATTTTAAAATAATTATTATTTTACAGTACAGATTATTTCATAAGTCTAACTCATGATTAAACTAGTTTAGATTAATTTTTTAATTTGACTAAACCTATTCTCGAATATTTCATATCAATTTATTAAGTTAAGTTTTCTATAAAAACAAAAATTAAGTAAACATAAAAATAAAACTTTTTTTTAAAATAAAAAATAGTTACATAACTTTTTAGTATAAATAAATATTTCCATTTTCATTTGACCACAAATTTTAATCATTTAGTAACTAAAATATATTTTATGTATAAACGAGATGTCACTTCACTAAAAATACAAAGAAAAATATAAATGGTCTATAATGGCTCATATATATATATATATATATATATATATATATATATATATATATATATATATATATATATATATATATATATATATATAATGAGAAAAATATATTTTAATAATAAAATATACATTAATTCATAAATTAATAATTGATATTATGATAAATTTATATTTTATTAGGTATATAATTAATTTATCACGATGTTTAATGTTTCATATTTTAAATATGGATGACAATTAAACTCATATATGTGGGGATTGATCCATCTCCGTCTCGAGTTTGATAGAAGAAAATCAAGTTGACAAGGAATGGGAGCGGGAGTGGTTCGGGGTTCTTCCGGTTTAAAAATCGGAACTAGGCAGGGCCATAAATGGTAATACAATCTCCACTCGCACCAACTTTATATTTAAATTTAAATTTTAAAATATTAATATTTTAAAAATATTTCATTTTCTTTTTCTATTACATATAACGTCATTTTTTTTATATTTCACCATTTTTTACTTTTCTTCTACGTACTTTTTAATTCTTTTATCTTTTTTAATCTCTTATATCAATTAGTTTATTATATTTTTTTTTCTTACCTTTCAGTTTTTCATATTTCTTTAATCTCTCCAATCAATTTGTTGTTTTTTTTTTCAATCTTTTCAACAAATTTGATGAACACAAAGTTAATTTTTTTTCTTTATCTTTTTCTAAATATTTTATATAAATCTTAATAGTAACTAATATTATTTTATTTATAAATTTATATTTTTTAGGTTTTATTATGTCATATTTTTTTATCTTATTATTTTTATTTGTCATATATCAAATTCGCTTTAATAAAATAATTATATTTTAAATAATTAAAAAATGATAATTTAAATTTTTATTACTTTGAACTAATTAAATAATAATTAACTTATTAATATTTCCTTATAAACTATATATTTCATATTTTTAAATGACAACGTAAAAAGGAATTAATTTATATATATTATCAAATGTTTGGATATAATAATAATAATAATAATATTATTATTATTATTATAATGCTATAAGTATTCTATATCTGTATAAAGAAAAAATGATTAAATGTTTCTTTTATATACATATTTTAATATAAATATAATAAATTAAAATATATATTCAATTAATAATAATTATAAATTGTAAAAATATAAATATTTATTTATATATAAAAAATACATAAAAATAGTAAAATTAATTTATTATAAATATAATTATCTTTTAAAAAATAATGTAAATCGGGAACGAGACAAGAGAAACCCAAAATCCAACGAAAATAAGGATGATAATTTAATTCTAACCCTAGCAAAGATCGGAGATGAGGATGATTAAAAAATCAGGGACGGGATGAGAAAGGCAAAATCCACCCGTCCCGGTCCCATTGTCATGCCTACTTCTAAGCAACTATTGTAAGTAAATATTATCGTCTGAAATCATCATTTCAGTATGTAAAATAATATAATTTTTGGAAAAAAAAACTTAGTATATTAAATTTATTTATTAATATCTTATTAATTTATTGAGAAAAAATTACTAATTTAACACTTTCTTCTTTTTATAATTAGGTGAATTATGTATGATTTGTATTTAAAACAAAAGAAGTAAAAATAAAATAAAATGGAAGTACCTTTGGCAAGTGTTTACCAACTTCAAGCCAGTTCACAATTATCTCAGCGTAGCTTTCTATTATCTTACACCAATTCACATGTTTGTTGAATAAGTTTAAAATATTCACAATTAAATATTCATATTATCTTACACCAATTCACACTTGTTTGTTGAATAAGTTTAAAATATTCACAATTAAATATTCATCGTGACAAATGTGCATGATAATTTATAGCATAGAATTTCTAACAAAGCTTTCCTCCAACATATTATAAGGAACACGAGTATCATGTTGAACACTCGAAAAACTATGAACAAATGTAACTATGTCACCAAAAGATTATAAAATGTAAACACGTATTACATAACTTTCTTTTAAGATTTTATTTCTTAGCTGTGTTTATATGTGTATGGATATCCATAAAAGTTTCAGTGAGGTTCAACTTTGTATTTTTAAATGATTCCAAATTTGAATGTTATATAACTTTAAAAATATAAACAAAAATATATTTATTTTCTTGTCATTATATTAAAAACTTATTAAGTTTAAATAATATAAAAAACTAATTTCATTCTAAATGTATTAATTTTTCTTTCTTTTATTTAGAAGTTTCAAATGATTCAAAATAAAAAAAATAATATCATTTTGATATTATCTTAAAAATATAAACTAAAATATATTTATTATCTAAAATGAAATAAAATATATAAATTATTTATAAAATATATTTTGTAAAAATAATAAAATGAAAGTAATTTATTTAAAATAGTCAAATTAATTATTGGTAAAATCAGTTGATACTTTACACTATAACATTAAAAAAATTGTGTACGTATACTGATTATCATTTTAAATCCATTCAAATATTTATAAGAGAACTTAAAGAAATACTTAAACTGGAAATTAAATTTTTCAATCTATATTTAATCTAATTAACTTTTATATTAAATATTATCTTTAAAGTGATGCTTTGTATTTCAAAGCTTGTGTGACATATATGTCCCACCATTACTCAGAATTGACGTGGAAACCGCAAACAATTTCATCCATTCTAACTACTCTTGTTTTGGAAGCCATGTTTCTCACATGGATTCTTTTATATGTAAATTCCATACCTACCATGCATGTGCCCTTTTGCAAATAATTTAATGAGAAAATATCCGACATATTCATAATTATAGAGACAGATAACATAGGATTGTGAATGGGATAATGTAATTTTTTTTTTATTAGGTTTCATGTTTAATCATATTATAAATTATTATCTTTTTTGTCAACAGCACATGATCCAATATATATATTACCTTTCTTCCACTATACTTTACTGGGTGTGATCTGTAATTGTCAAATTAGGGTTGTAAACATCTTATCATATCAAGTTCTAGATTGTACATCTCCAAGGTCAAACTTAAATAAAATATTTGATTATTAAACTTATTTGCATATATATGTTGAAATTATTTATATATATTTCATATTATATTACATCAAAATGTGACGAAGGAATAAGCTTTAAAAGTAAGTTGAATGGGCCCTTTATATTAATTTCACTTTAATTATTTTATTAACATTAATGATTGCATTATATTAAATTATAGCATTTTTTTAAGTGGTCATATCAGAAAATTGAAACATCACAGGGGCTTAGTGTATTATACAACAAAAAATGAAGGGCATGTCTGCAACTGCAATCACTTTAGTTAATAACTTACAAAAAATATTTAATGACTTCTCTCACTTTCTCTCTTTATCTAACTTAATATCATTGTTGAGCTGGGTTTACAGATAACTGAAGCATACATTTATAGTATTAATTTTGAGTTATGAATTAATTTTACCATAATATTTACAGTTATAATAACAATTCAAATTCATTAAAATCATTACAGTTATAGAATAAACTAGATATTAGCATAATTTCTACAGCATTAATAAACTCCTACCTACTAATTAATAAGTTCAGAAATAATATCTAGTTAAGACAGCTATGATGTCAAGGACAAATGAGTCTTTTCATGTCCTCTGATAGGTACACTCGTGTAACTTCACTGGTCAAAGGTGGTGAGGATATAAGAAGTTTCACTTGATTTTTGTTAATTGCAGTTTAAAAGACAAAAATAGCCTTGCAGGGTCCTATAAAGTGACCATATCCTTTATTATCCCTCTTCTGTCTCAACTCCTTCCATCTTCAAAGTTCACACAGAACAATCGCAATGGCTTTCAATCAAGAACTAGAAGCTATAACCCAAGCTTTCTCAGGTTCTCTCATTTTCTCTTCATTTTTAGATGTCTTTTTTTTCAACATTATTAAACATGCATGTCGTTGTCAACCATGTAGAATTAATCAAAAGGGTTTATTTACTCTTTGTAAATTAAAGTTTAGTCTTTACTTTTTGTAACAAAGATTGTCTGTGAAAGACATGTTTTTGAAAAAAAGGAAGAAGATGCATGAGATGGGGTTGATGATTATGGTGGTGGATGTTAATTTCAGGGCATGGAGTGGATGAGAAATCATTGGTAACAATTCTGGGAAAGTGGGATCCTACTGAGAGAGAAGGTTTCAGGAAGAAGACACCACATTTGTTCACAGAGGATCATCAACGCCACTTTCAGAGGTGGGATGATCACTCTGTTCATCTTCTCAAGCATGAGTTTGTGCGTTTTAAGGTACATTTTTTCTTTCAGGTTGATTTCTTCTGTGTATGTAATAGTATGGTTACTCTGGTTTAATATCCTTGGAAACTGGAAAAAAAATGGTCAGATGCTATTTTTATTTTTAAATTTATTTGAAGATAAATTCAAAATTAAATTGTTCCTAAAAAAATATCCATTGAGGGTGTACAATTAGAACAAAATTCAGAGAAAATGTGTAAAATTCTCTTCTTTTTTTAACGGTAGTTTTATATTTTCTCTACCTTCTTAAAACTTTATCTCACCTTTATTTATCTTCAATAATTTATATTTTTAAAATGAATATTTATATTTTAAATTAAATTTTAAGAAATTAAAATAAAAAATATAATAAAAATACGGAAACATAGACCAAAAAGATATGTCTATATTTCTTTAATATCTATAATTATATATAAAGAGATTCTTTTTAATTATCTTTTTTATGTAATCAAAACGAGAAAAATAAAAATATTATAGTTTTAAAAAATAGTTATTATGATTTATATATTTTAAAAAAAAGATATATCTAAAAAATGAAAAAAAAATGAAAAGAAATTAATTATAAAAAATTTGTACATGTCTTTTAGGATCACTTTTTTATAACTAATTTTTATCATTAATTATAATTATTTTTATGATATCTTGCTTATATAAGAATAGAGACAAAAATGTAATATATATTAAAAAAATAAAATTGAATTAAAAATAATTATTTAAAAAAATTAATAATATAAAACATATAGATAGACACACAAATATTTTAGTGTCTGTATTTCTATTAATATGGAATAATAATATTAATAAAATTTATTAAAAAACACTAATAAAATATACAAAATTAGGAAAGAAAAAATATAAATGAAAAAATATATTTTAAAATAATATTAATTTGGGATCTTTAACTATTGAAAGCATGTCATTTTGATTATGCAGTAAAGAAATTTGTTTCAACTTAAGAAATATATATATATATATATATATATATATATATATATATATTTTTTTTTTTTTTTTTTTTGAAAATAGTATTTTCAGAGGTTTTCTAAAAAAAGTAAATTTTGTTTTTTATAGATTATACTCATAAAAATAACTTTACATTTTAAAAGCCATTGATAATTATAATTAATATTTTGAATAGTAAATATAATTTCTCAAAATAATCAAAAATATGTTTTTCTTTGCCGATTCTTTTTTCTTTTTTCAAAGTCAAACAAAAACAAAAACACTATATATATATATATATATATATATATATATATATTAAATATAATAAAAGAACCATACACAAATTGACTCTACTTAAATTTTGTAATCTTGAAGTCAATAAATATATTAATGTACGAAAAACAGTCATATTTTCCACAGAATAAAATTCTTGTGTGGGGGATTTTTATTATATTCTTCCATTGTTGTATATTTGTTATCCATATGTTAAGGAACTCAGGGGAGTAGTACTCTTTTTATTTTTATTATTAATTTATTTCTTAAATTCTCTTCTTCAATATTAAGGAAGAAACAATGACATGTTCCGGCAGATATCGGTTGGCTTAATTCGTTTATAATACTTTCAAAAACAAGATTCAAATAATAAAATACAAATACAAAGAACCAAAGTTGGAACAATTAGTCTGATATGTGGTCCCTTATGACTGGTTTAATCAGAATGCTGTGGTGCTGTGGTCCATGCACCCTTGGGAAAGAGATGCCCGTTTAGTAAAAGAGGCCCTAAAGAAGGGCCAAAATGCATATGGAATTCTCATTGAGGTTGCATGCACCAGATCCTCAGAAGAGCTATTAGGAGCTAGGAAAGCCTATCACTCCCTCTTTGATCACTCCATTGAAGAAGATGTTGCCTCTCACATCCATGGCATTGAAAGAAAGGTGAGGTACTCTTGCACCATCTTGCTCAAGTTTAGAAATTTTTTGATGCAGGATTGAGTTTGATAAAATAAAGAGATGTAGTTAGAGTACAAATAATGTTGAAGTGAGATATAAATGTCTAAGTCAAATTAACACCTATTACTTTTGTGAACAGCTATTGATTGCCTTATTAAGTGCCTATAGATATGAAGGATCAGTGGTCAAAGATGCCAGTGCAAAATCAGAGGCCAAAGTCCTCTACAATGCCATCAAGAATGCTCATAAGAAGCCTATTAATGAGGATGATGAAGTAATAGGGATATTGGCAACAAGAAGCAAGTTACATCTCCAAGCAGTTTATAAGCACTACAAAGAGATATCTAGCAAGAACCTTGATGAGGTATTAAACACCAAAATAAATCATTCTCACATCTGGATATGCACCATTATGCCCTTTGAGTTCTATTATAATACCCTTATAAAATATGCTACCTTAACTTTTGAGGTGATGTTCTAAACTTCAAATATGAGGAGATTCTATATCTGATCAAACCTTTGTTGCTTGTGGCTAGGATCTTGATGATTTAAGATTTAAAGAGACTGTGCAATGTCTCTGTATCCCACAAATATATTTCAGCAAGGTAAGATGAAGTTATAGTAAACCAATTGCTGAAGTTCTTACTTTTGCTATCTTTTTTTACATAAAGTTTATTATAATTTGCATTCTTTCTTTGTGGCTAGGTTTTGAATGCAGCATTGAGAATTGATGTGGATAAGAATAATAAGAAATCTCTGACTCGTGTCATTGTTACTAGAGCTGACATTGATATAAAGGAAATAAAAGCAGAGTACCAAAACCTATATGGAGTTTCTTTACCCGAGAAAGTTGAGGAGATTGCTAGAGGAAGCTATAAGGATTTCTTGTTAAATTTGATTGTTAGAGGATGCTGATTGAAGAAATTAAAAAGAGAATAAAACCTTAAAGATGAAATCAGTTTTAAATTCTATGTCATGTATTGTTGTTATTCATCCCAATTGTTGTTGCTCATTTTCTTGCAAGATGCTTCTTCATCTTGTATCGCCATTGTCACAAAATCAAAGATGGAGAGTGTAATCAAATAAAATTGTTATGCTATTTCTTCCTAAACAAATAAAATGTAATAATATTAAGTTTTATGCTTTGTGCTGGGGTTGAATGGAGGGTTATTTTAGCTCATGGTAGCTATGTAACAGTTGATTTTTCAAACTGTCCTCGTCTTTATTCTTGATTTCCACCGGAATTAGAAATTAAATCTCCACCTCCGTCCTAGTTGGGTTTCGGGTTTTTCCTACTCGTCCGTTCTTGATCTATATTATTTTTAGAAAAGTAATTATATTCGTAATAAATTAATTTTACCATTTTTATATATTTTTAATACATAAATAAATATTTATAATTTTACAATTTGTGATTATTTTAAATTAAATATATATTTTAATTTACTATATTTATATTAAAATATGTGTACAAAAAAAATATTTAATTATTTTTAATTTATATATAGAGAAAATATTTATAATAATAATAATAATAATAATAATATTATTATTATTATTATTATATTGTATTCAAACATTTGATTACATATATAAGTTAATTCATTTTTAAGTTGTCATTTAAAAATATGAAATATATAGTCTATAAATAAATATTTAATAAGTTAATTTTTATTTAATTAGTTCGAATTATCAATTCTTTTTAATCCTTTAAAATACAATTATTTTATTAAGATAAAATTTAATATATGATAAATAAGAATAATAAGATCCAAAAAATATGACATTAAATCTAATAAATATAAATTATAAATAAAATAATATTATTTATTACTCAGATTTATGTAAAATATTTAAAAGAGGTAAAAAAAATATTAACTTTGTGTTCATCAAATTGATTAAAAAGATTAAAAACAAAATTGACTGAAAAGATAAAAGAAATGTGAAAAACTAAAAAGTAAGAGGAAAAAAATAATATAATAAACTAATTGATATAAAAGATTACAAAAGAAAAAAAATAAATGAAAATAAAAATAAAAATGGTAAAATATAAAAATAATCTCATATATAATATAATTAAAAAAATAAATATTTTTAAAATATTAATATTTTAAAATTTAAATAAAAAGTCAGGACAAAAAGTGTATTATCCCCTCAACTTTTTAAAATGAAAAAAAAACTTGAACCTTTTAAAATAGAGAAAAACTCGAACCAATACCACGATGCGAATTTATTGTCATCCTTAGTCCTATGTTCTAAATTTGTCATGGTTAAAAGAAAGGGAAATTTGCGATTAGATAAATGTTTTTTATTATATTTATTTTACCACTAAAATGAAAGAAAAATCATTCGTCAGGCTATGTTTGGAAAATATTGATGTCATATACGTATCCCCTTTACGTTTAAATCATCAAAATGAGTTTTGTAAGAAAAGAAATATATGCATGATGTTGGTTTTGAAATATGATTCTTCTGAGTTGTGAAATATAGCAGACATTTTTCTTGTAGTTTTACGTCGACACCTTCCTTGTTTGGCTTCTTATAGTAGTTTTCTGTGCTGGCATTATACTCTGTAATGGTAGTAGGTGACTCCAAAGTACAAAAAGCATAAATGGAGTAATTATTGTTTGAAAGATAAGCAAATTACCAAGTACAAATGTTACTGTGATTTTATTCTATATATATAAAGAATAAAGTTTAGAGGCTTAGTATGAGATTACAAAGATTGCTAAAGATAAAAATATTACATCTTTCAGTCTTTGATGCTTTGGGTGCTTTGTTAATTATGCAATATTGTTTGCACATGTAATATTCTATTATTAGATTTAGGATTCCTAGATTGAATATCTAGTTCAGTTTATTTCATACCAGGATCAATTCCCTTTACCTAGACACATCTCATCAGTTTAGTAGTTCAAAATCAATTTTTTCAAAATCAAATGGGCACTCTGATTATAACTTTTATTTTTATGCCTGTTCATAACTTAGAGCCACCAAACAGCTATCACATTACCACTATATAACATAGGAGAAATCCATGTTCTCATGCAGAAATATAATTAAGCAAAGATTAAGGAAACTGAAAGCAGACTCAAGGAAAACCAACACCGAAAACACCAAAAGACACAAGCATAAGTTGGTGATCTAAACTCAAGAACACAGATGCCCTCAGAGAAAAAACTTAGTCTTCTTTCCCCAACAAAGTGAGGAGGAACTTCTTGTAATCCCCTGAGGTTTCCTTGGCAATAGCATGCTCAAGAAGAACACTGTTTCTCTTGTAGTAAACCTCTGAGATTATCTTCAGATCCTTCTCAGCCCTGCTCACAACCACCCGGGTGACTGCATCCTCATCAGTTCCAAGCTTCTTGATTGCATTTCTCACCACCTAAACATTTGGGGGGGGGGGCGGTGAACCAAGGTGAATCATGACAGATATTTTCATAAGTGAATTGATTTTTAACATCACGTTCACAATTTTCAAAAGCTGGTTGATTTTCAGCAAGTGGAGATCAACAAATTCAAATATATTATTAGAGCATCTAAAGGGTCAAATCTGTGAAATGGGTAGGACATTATCCTGATGCCACCCAAAATTTCAATGATAAAAATACAATGAGATTGTATAGCGCTATGCGAACAAATGTGAGTTAAAAAATCACACCTTTTCATAGTACTTAACATGATCATTGATGGTACGAATGGTGGTGTACAATGCCTTCTGAAACTCATCAGATCCTTCATCCACCAGTTTCTACAATCATAAGAAATATCAAATATAAGATGATAAAGTAAAACATCCAGACCTTTATTTTATTTCTCTTTTGAATGGCATATATAGAAAACTATGATAATAATTTGGTGATCTGTGAAAAGGATATAAAAGGGTGTCGTATCTCCTTTTTGTGTACCTTGGAGATGGAAGTGCCATGGATCTCTCTGTAGCGGTTGAAAGTTGCAACCAGTTGAGTCTTGCTCCTTGTAGTCAAGACCCTGATGGCCTCTTCATAGCTACCCTTCTTCTCTTTCACAGCATCATGAAGAATTTCAGCCTCATTTTGGGCCAATTTTGGATTGATCTCATCACCAACATACCTGAATGAGGTTACCAACCCCACTAGAAGCTGCTCAATATCAACCACAAAACTCAGATCATAAGCATCATGACATTCCCTTTACTCATAAAGTCAGAAATCTTTACATTGGATCACAATCAAACTTGTGTTGCCACATGTCTTATTGAAAATTCCAACACACTACGAAGCAAGATTTACATCTAATCTTATATTTGACTAGAATAAAAATAATGAAAAGAATTTTTTTTATCTTTTCATAAAATGGACTTTTCTATAGATCCTAAATTACCAATCCTCACAAGAATTGCCAGATATCCAATAAATCAACCTTGATTCCTTCACACTGGTCAATAGGAAAAATTCATCCAAAGGGACCATGGAGGATATGATCCAGAAATCTTATCTAACTACATTGGATCAAACCTTGGTTCCCACATGTCTAATTAAAAACCCCACCATACTTAGCAAAATTGACATCTGATTTGACTCTTAGCCTTCACTCTTAAATGTAATTAGATTATAAACATTGAACAAAAAGTAATCTCTAAAGAAATTGGTCAAAAAAAGACTCTTGCTTGTTCAAGATACAGTGGATCAAACATGTATTTACCTGGCGTAGATGGCCAGTGGTATGTGCTGCAAGATCTTCTTCCAAGGAGTGTTTGTAGCGGTGGAGATAAGCCCGTCTCACAGCGAGAAGCTCTTCTGGAGAGAGGATAGTGGAAATTTCCACGATGACATTGTAGTTTTTGCCACTCTTGATCGTAACATTGGCCAAAACAGCATCACGATCTGCAGGCTCCAGTACCCATCGGTACACAGCTCTCTGTTCAGTACCATTAACACATAGTTTAGAGTTCGATTAGCACACATGAATTTCAAAAGGCACATGGAACACTAACAAGAACATTTCACACTAAAGGTACCTCAAAGTCTCCTTTGATCTCAGACTCTAGGCGCTTCACAAGATCCTCCTGGTAAATTTCCTCATAAGCTCTTCTGATTTGTTGCCTCTGATGAACAGTTCTATGACCCAATATTGTTATGATCGTTTTCTCGTCAGTACCCCATCCTACAAAATTGAAAATAAATTGATCACAATCATTCTAACACCCATTTCAAAGATACACAAAAGTACATCAGGTTCATCACTCTAACAGATCACCCTCGGATAAAAAAAAAACACTTTTGACTTAACACTGAAAATACATGGTAAATCAAGATTGCAAATTTGTCATGGATTTTCATTAGATGACCAATATCACTATCACAGTTTTCTCAGACTACAAAATTAAGTCATTTGAACACGATCATTCTGAAAGTATGTCAGATTCAATACTCTAGCAGATTACCCTGAGATACAAATATATGCACTTTAGAGTTTAAGCTGATATAACATGGTTAATCCAAGATGAAAACTTGTCATAGATTTTCATAAGATGAAATACACAAAATCAACTAGATCATGCATAAGTATGATCCAAACAAGAGGATCTTAATGATGATGAAAAGCCACCTTCAAAAGACTTTCTGAGAGCTTCAGCATCTTCTTGGGGAGAGTGGTGGTTGGGAGCAATGAGGGTAGCCATAGATGAATGTGTGTGCTTTCTCTAAAGTGCTCACAATGATGGTATGATGAAGAAAGCTATGCTCACATATTTTCTATTTATAATAATAAGCTATGTAGACAATGGAGTATAGTTTATGCTGTAATTTTTCTATTGGGAAAGTGATGCAGGATGAGTAAAATCTACATAGTAGTACCAATCCAAGCCCTGAAATCCGATAAGGTTTCTGGCCTTTTTCAGACAATAATTTATTACATTGATTTTTTTCCTTCACACTTGACACTATTTTCAAATTCCAATGCAATTTTGGCATTATTTTCAGAGGGACCAACCTGTAATCAACCGCAAAAATAGTTTCTTTATTCTGAAAAATTTACTGCCACCCATCTGTGATCATCAATGCCACATGAACGGTTGATTTTGATTCAAAGTATAAAGTATAATTGTAATTATGGTCATGATGTGGCACGTCTAGAGTTGTCTGAGTTGTAATCAAGTTTTTAATTTTCTATTAATATCGGGAAATAAAATAAAAATCACATATGATTATCCTTACACTTAACCATCTATGCATAAAGATAATTTTTTATGGAAAGAAAACACAGAAACGTTAATTCATGGTGGGGGCTGCCAATAACCTTTAAAAAGCAAGAATAAATATCCTTTTTTTATATTACACTAGTTTTTAAATCTTTAAAAAATATTACACTATATACTTCAATAAAAAGTTATAAAAGAATAAAAAATTGTGTAATTTCACAAAATGTAACTAAAATTATTATTGTAGGAAAAATAAGAGATGTGAATGAGATTGAAACTCATCTTTATTAGAGAAGGTGAATCAATCAATATTGTTTGATTCACAATTGGTATTCTATTCCTTAATTAAGATTAGTTTAGAGATTTTTGTTTGGTAATGATTAATTTGTGGTAACAAAAAAGTAACACAGTAAGGTTAAATTAAAAAAAAAAGATCAGTGAAAGGTTCCAACTTTATTACTAAATAAAATTACTGAATAATATTTAGATGTATTGGGTAAAAATGAAATGGGTGAACAGTGCAATGTATCTGGTCAAGATTATGTTTTGATTCATAAACAAATTTCATTCTCACATGATTACTTTTATTTTAAATAAATAATATTTTAGGAGTACCCTAGGTGGCACTAAGTCCCATTATATACACTACTTAATATTCAAATAAAATTAAAAAAAAAATCCTTAAAATTCTTAAAAATTCCATGCAATTTTCGTGTACTATATATAAAATGCTGTTTTTTCTTGATGTACATAAATTTACCCTTTCACATCCCACTTCCCTTTCTTCAATTTTCCTCCTCCTTGCCCTTCAAAAACTTAAAAAATTCTCAGTAAAAAAAAACTTAATAAATTCTAAAATTAAATACTAATTTTATTACTCATTTATCCTCATTTTACAATTTTTATTACATTATTATTTTTTATATATTTTATGGTCATATTTTCAATATTTGTCCTTTTAGGAATCATTAAATATCTAAACTTGTATTTAGATGTCTTCATTATTTTTAAAAATTAAAACTTTTGTTCTTGATTGAAATAGAACACTTCACAGTTTATGGTTTCAACATATACATATAAAAAAACAAAATGATATCAGTCACAATCATGGATTATAAAAGTATCAAGTACCTGCTACAGGGTAGGTATATTAAGAATGTTTTGGTTTGTTCAACTAATCTTGTTCCACTTTTCAATAAGTATTAAAGCTTATTCATTCACATTACCTTTTCATTTTTTATTTGAACATCTTCTTACTTTTTTTTGTTTTTTAATTTTTCATTTTTTGATTAATTGTTTTCTCATATGACTTGTTGAAGATCACTGTAGCAGACATTTTAAAAGAAGAAAAAAAATGTAAATGGACTTAATTTTTTTAAATGTAAAATAAACTTAATTAATTTGAAACTTTTATATATATAAAAAGAGAAAGAAAAGAAAAATCAATTTTGATCATAATTCGTAACAAAGCAACTTTGATCATAATTTTTTTTAATGAAAAATCAACTTAATTAATGCAAAATGCAATACAACTACCATTCAAAGTTATATAAAAAGTAATAAAGCAAAGTAGAAAGTTGAAAATGAAACAAGTAGAGTAGCCATTGTAGATCAGTAGAGGTGTTTCTGCTGTGATTAATTTGAAGTAAAAAAATAAAATTGGGTTGATGGATTATTAACTATGGTTAGTAAAGTTATGCTTCGTAGTTATCTGGGTGCTTTGGAGTTAATGTCTACCAACTGTATATTTGAAATTTGGATGTTACTTTTTTTTTATTAATCATTGCATACGTTAAAGAATTAACATCTTTTGGGTTCAAAAGTTACAACTCATGAAATTCTCAATTGGTGAGTTTCCGAAAACAGTTCATGGAAACTTGGTATGACTTTTGTTGGAAAAGATTTTAGTATAATTTTCCTTATTATAGTGCAGATACATCACATAGAGTAATGTTAAACAGAAGTACACATTCTCTTACAGAGCAAAGATAATAGGTACATGACTGATAAAAAACACACTCAGAATAGGCAAATTAACCAAATCATAACACAAGAAACCAGCATAAGAAGATACAAGATATGTTCTTGGCTTGTGCAATCACTTCAAACATCCTTCCCCAACAAAGTGAGGATGAATTTTTTGTAGTCCCCTGAGGTTTCCTTGGCCACTGCATCCTCAAGGTGAACACTGTTTCTCTTGTAATAGAGCTCTGCAATGTCCCTCATGTCCTTCTCTGCCCTTGAGACCACCACACGGGTAAGTGCATCCTCATCAGTTCCAACCCTTCTGAGTGCATTGCGCAGAACCTATACATAATGATGAAAAAAATAATGGTGAATCAGTGTATAATAAATGTATCATCTAGAAAACATCATAACTATTGGACACTAAATCTAAATATTTCAGTAATTTAACCAACAAAATTTAGATACAGTACTATATATAGTATTGGTGCTATTTTTCTATTTTCAATTCGGTAATTACTGAGATGAAACTTTAGTTTTGAGTAGAGAACAACTATATTTCCAAGGTGAAACTTCAGTTCTAACTGGATAATAACACCTATAACAATTAAGGTATTACATCTAACTTTTGTTATTTAGATTCAAAACCCAACATAGATGAATAATCTGACGTTGGTTATTCATGAAACTTTTGACATGAAGCACAATCGTGAAAGATCTGGAAATATGGATCATAACAAAATGTTAAAGGGTAATATTATATCCAACTGAATTTTAGGATTGTTAAAATTCAAGATTTCAACTAAATAATGTAAAATTACAAGCAAGCAAATAAACATGATTCTTTTAAATGATGATTCGTATACTTGCAGATATAAAATGAGAATCTGACCTTTTCATAGTACTTTTTGTGGTCATTGATGCATCTCACAGCAGTGTGCAATGCCTTGCGGAAATCATCAGATGCATCATCCAACAATTTCTGTAACAAAATATATATGCACATGTCAATTATTTATTAAGTAATGTTTTTTATCGAAGATGTACAGGGCGAACATTTTTCCATTGTACCTTAGTTATGGAAGTGCCATGATCATCTCTGTAGCGGTTGAAAGTTGCCAGAAGTTGAGTCTTGCTCCTTGTGGTAAGGATCCTGATGGCTTCTTCATGGTTACCCTTTTTCTCCTTGATAGATGAATGAAGAATATCAGATTCAGTTTTTGCCAACTTTGCATTGATCTCATCACCACCATACCTATATGAGGTCACCAGCCCAACCAACAGCTGCACATAGCCAAAAACCAAACAAACTGAAAAAGTCAAAACCATTAGTATGCACCTAACATTTCATTAAGCATGTACTTTTGACCAAAGTTTTAAAAATGGTCCTAGATACACTTATTTACAACCAATGCTTCCATAGATTTGATCATGGTTTACAACAACTATGACTATGATTTGAAATCTCACCCGTGAGGAAATTAATCACAACTGCAATTCAAAACCATGCTTCTTACTCACCCTAACTTAGAAAGAGAAGAATGTGTGATACTAACATTCAATCAGTATTACTACGTTGAAATGAAAGAGTTAATGATGTGAATTACCATAACACACAGTTAAACGACTTGCATATATGAAGAGACAAACCAGAAAACAACTTTGAAGACATTAAATCAGGTGGATACTCCACACCATGGAGATGGTTTTAAGAAAAATATTTACCTGGCGAAGATCACCAGAGGTATTAGTAGCTACATCTTCTTCCAAAGATCGTTTGTAACGGTTGTGATAGGCACGCTTGACTGCCAAAAGCTCTTCAGATGAAAGCACACAAGCAATTTCCACAATCACATGGTAGCCCTTGCTGCCACTCTTGATTGCCACATTGGCCAAAACAGCATCACGATCGGCATGTTCCAGCATCCAACGGTACACTGCTCTCTGTTATGATTAGACCCCATGATTCAAAATCATTAGTACTCTTGAGGCCATATGACAGAAAATAATGTGATGTTGAATAAAATGTGGTTTACATCCCTCAATTTTCAGTTAAAATTTGTTTTACTTCTGATCTCAGTATCTTCAAAACCATGATTTCAGTCATCCAGTTTATTTATTTTAATTGTAAAGCCATGATTCAAACTCGAGATTAGACTTAAACTTACACAACTCCACACTAACTGATCTACACACTCTACTAAATATTGAGTGAAGTATAAAGACTAGGATCAATTGTAACTTGTAACAGAACACTATGATTTAGCAAAACCATGTCTTTATAATGGTTACCTCAAAGTCACCAGTGAGTTCTGACTCTAAGCGTTTGATGATGTTCTCTTGGTAAATTTCCTCATAAACCTTTCTTATTTGTTGCCTCTGATAAACATTTCTGTGACCCAATATTGCAATAACGGTTTTCTCATCAGTCCCCCATCCTGCACAGTTCAAAAGCATTAGATATTAAATACTAAACTCTGCAAAAAGTTACATAATACGGATCAACTATAGACACTTAAAATAATATTGAATTTTGTCTGAAATGGTGGAAGGATTGAAGCACAAATGTTTCCATCACAGAATCAATATTCTTGATGAATTTTCATCATGGCAAGAAAACCAGAACAATCAATCAAAGAATTTCCCTTTTTTTTTTTAATTTAAGGAATGTGGAAAGAGAAATGATGCATATATAAACCTTGGAAAGCTTTGTGAAGAGCTTCTGCATCAATTCCAGGTGAAAAAGTGATGGGAGCAATGAGGGTAGCCATTGTTGATGATGCTTTCCTCAGAAAGGTGTTGGGTACGTTTGAGTTTGGTTTCCTTAACTCATATTTATAGTATAATTAATACACTATACAGCTGTAAACTATGCTCTTTACAGTTCCAATTTTATTTTATTTCATTTCGGTGAGAATATCATTAATGAAGTTTTATGAATTATTAATCTCTCTAAAAAAAATCTAAATTTACCATTTTTAATGATTTTTCTTTATACAAAAATAAAATTCAAATCTTTATTTAAAGAATCTAAATCTAATATCATTCCAATAAGATAATGCCAAAGCAAAAATAAGGAGAGTAGATTCTAAAAACTTCACTGGAATATGAATATTTTAAGTCATGTTTTAAAATAGGATCTCTATTATTTTTATAAAATAAATAAAATCATGTTTTAAATATGAATTTTATTATTAAAAGTCGAACACGACTTATTTATTAAAAATTATATTGATAATTTTTAAAAATATATAAATTCTGCACCTATGAATGTAGAACTTCCCAAAAAATGTGCTTTAAAATACACTTTAGTCATATTTATAATTTTTTTTAAATTCCCTATTTTATTAAATACTTTACCAAATTTACCTATAAATGTAAAAGTCACCAAAAAAGTTTGTACAGAACAAGCCAAAGTATCATGGGAACTGATGGAAGATGTTGTCACTGTCAATAACCTATGCCTATAAAGTTATGTATACCATACTTTTAGTTCAATTTTGTTAAGAACAATGCCATAATCTTCAATCTTGTTGTCTTTTTTGACCTTTAAACCACTGGAAAATTGAAGAATCCTGTTATTCCAATTTATTGGTATTAAGATCAATGAATCATTTTTTTTCTTGCCACCACTAAATTAAGTCACCATGGCAGTATGTTGAAATGGGATGGAACATAATAACATAAAAATAAATGTATATATTTCTTGAAAAGAAAAACACTGACATTTTTTAATTTTATTAAAAAGGTGAAGCAAAATGAAAAAAAAAAAATGAGATGCACAAATATTTAATAATATTAATTTAATAAAAATATTTGCTTAGTTAAGGAAGTTTAAAGCATATACGTAATTGATGTTAATAAGATAATGTCCATACATGATTTTGTTCTGTTCTTCCCACAAACTCAATTCATTTTAACCTTTTTGATTTGGAGTTAATTTGTTTAATTTTTTTATTTCATATTTTTTACTTTATTCTCGTATTTAAACAATTATAAATGAAAAAAAATTGAAGACAACCCAATTTTTTTATATTCCTATTTTTACAAATATTATCCAAAACTCTCTTTCTTACGCCACTGAGTGAGACTAATTTTGAATTTCATGACACACCCATCTCAGTGAAATCAAGAAGACAAATAAGTTGAAGAAATCAAGAAGATTACACAGAACCTTCAAGAGAAACCAAATAAATTGAATAAGTAAAAAACTTAAACATTACACGTCAAAATTTAAAACATTTACGTTGAATATGATAAATAGGATACCTTTGAAAGCCTTATGAAGAGCTTCAACGTCTTCAACTGTTGATGTTTGGTTTGGAGCAAAAAGGGTAGCCATAGAAGCACTCAAACTGAGAGTGACAGAAATGTTGAAGATTGGTTTGGTTAAATGAATTAGTAATATTTATATCCCCAACTTCTTCCTAGTTGTTATCGCCTTAACATTATCATCAATTCTCAACGTTACTTTTGATGCCATAATTATTATATAATTCATTAAGTGCATTTAATATTAACTAAATAGCATTCTTTAGCATTAAGAAAAAACACATTTGAAACTTCAGAAATTGCAAGAAAACGTTGTAACGAAACCGAAAGTTTAGAACTTGATCTTTGGGTATAATTGGCATGGCTTCGTGCATCCAAAGTTTATTATTTTTTATGAATATATTTTGTTAAACTATTAAGTAAATACATAAACCAATCTTTGTTATCACATGTAGTTTTATATTAATGTTAGAATATATCAATAATATTGAAACCTTTGAAATATGAGATGCCAAACACAAAATCACACTTGAACGAAAATAAATGGAAATAATTGAAGGAATTTTCATAAGCATATGCATGTTTGATTATTTTCGTTTTTTTTTTCTTTAACATGTGAATTCGATTATAATTCTTGAAAAGGTCCTCATCAACCAGCTATACAAAAAATATATAAAAGGAGAAAAAGTTTCTCATTGTTGTTTTTTCTTTATTTGAAAAGAAATAAAATAATTTTTAAGTGAATCGATTGGTTGATGTAGTGTGCACCATGTTTCCCCAGAAGTGAAGGTTCATTTTGGTGAATACTTTACTCAGATCTTGTACTTGGCGTATGAACACGTGGCACACACATAAAGCGAGGGAACAAATTTATAAAATAGTATTTTTATTTATATTTAAAATGATAAAGCAAATTGAAAAGAAAAAGTGTAATTGAGAGTGTTTTAAAAAAGAAAAAAAAATTGAAAATGTTTATAGAGAAGATAAAATATCAAATTTTTTAAGGTTAAAATGAAAATGTTTCTCTATGTGACATAGAAACCTCTCAACTTAAACTTAATTTTTGGTATTTAAATGATGAATTAATACAATATTTTTATTTTACATGGTCAGACATAAATCTATCTTCTTATATGATCAGTTGCAATATATCTAAAGAATTATCTTGAAGTCCACATTATAGTTCTCAATTCTGGGAGACGTGTTAAAAGGGTATATGCAAATACACTTTGAAAGTTCAAGTCGGTAATAGGATAATGTTTTAATAGGTTTCTTTTAAGATTAGTTATGTTACCTCTTATATAAATGCTACAAAAGTATTTACATAATCATGATTAGATTATATAATCCAGAGTTTCCCAAGATGACTTTGGAATATTAAGGTATAATTTCCTTAACAAATTTCAAAACAAAGAATAAGAGAACATTGAAGTGAGAGATCAACTTTTCTTACCATTCCAAACCTTTTTACTTATAAGTAATTATTTTCTGTTATTGGTACGAGTTCAGCGGAATATTTGCGTTAAAGACAAAAATAAAGAGAGAGTGAATTGGTTTCTTATAAAAATTATCCCTTTTACAATTTTTTTTGCAAGTTTTACCTATTAAACGATAATATAATAAAACACTTGAAATGTAAAGAGATAAGAGAAAAAGATTACATAAGTAATTTATACTGGTTCGGATCAAAAGACCCTACTTACAGTTGTTAATCACTCTAAAAGAGGATTAACTCAGTCACTATAATAATGGTTCTCAAATAAACATATTACAAGTAGATAAATATTAGAAAACACCTTTTTTTAGTCACACAAGAGATGAACACCTCCTTTGAAGTCACAAAGGATGAAGACAACTTTCCTAGAGATGGCACAACACTCAATTCACTGAGAATCCTACTTAATGATTTTTATATCTTCTAGCTCATACTAGATTTTCAAAGCCCCTTTTTCTTTCCTACTCAAAGTTCTCACAGCAATCACAACTCTTAACTTTTCTGAGTATGAAAAAGGTTTGTCTTACTTTGTAGAGAGCATAAGAGTTCTTTAAATAGAGTTTTAAGGTTTCCAATTTTAGGGTTTTCGAAAATTAGGTCTGAAATTTGAAATTCAAATTCATAACTGATACAAATAATCGGTTATCATCAGTGATAATCGATTATCACAAAGCCAAATATAGGAAAACCATTTTTGTCTAGGATAATCGATTATCATCAGCAATAATCGATTATTCCATATCCAATTTCGAATTTAGATCCATAACAACCATAGATAATCGATTATCATTAGTGATAATCGATTATTCCAGAGCCACTTTCAGAAAACTTGAAAATTATACAGGATAATCGATTATCCACAACAATAATCGATTATTCCAGTGTGTCTTTCAGAAAACTAAAGTGTTATCCAGGATAATCGATTATCATTAGTAATAATTGATTATTCTAGTGCGACATTGATAAGAATGAAGCTTTTATGAACAGACTAAGTACTGACTATCATAGACTCTATTTTTACAGACTCAAGATGATAAAACATAGTTATTACAAACAATTTTAAATGAATATACATCTTCTAATCTTGAAGTCATTTGTTCTTGAATCATCATCAAAATATTTAGTCATCATATCCTTACATTTTCAACAATCTCCTCCTTTTTGATGATAATCAAAATTTGCTTTAGAGCCTCTTTGTAATAATCTGTTTTCTGTCACAACTATCATAGAAAAATATTTAACATTCCTGACTTTAAATATATATTCTCTCCCTTTTTTTTTTATCATAAACAAAAAGACAAGTAGTAATCATAAGCAAAAACTCCTCCTTAATAAATGACTCCCCCTCAATAAATTAATTGATGAATAAATATTTAGATATATAAAAAAACATTACACAATATTGAATACAAAAGTTTAAAATTCATCAGATTGAGAATCATCGTTAAACTGCATATCAAACTTGTGTTCTAGGGACGTTACACGAGAGTCCACCTCGTGGATGAGATTCACAATCTCATGATACCTATTTTCTTACTTTCTTTTAGTTTTACTAAGTTAAGATATTTCTAGTATGCCTAAATCTCTTCTAAGTTCATAGAATTTGTCTTTGGGAAGAGGTTTAATGAATATATCTGCTAATTGATGTTTTGTATCTATGTATTCAATTTGACAATTTCCTTTGCTAATATGATCTCTTAAGAAATGATATCTAATCTCAATGTGCTTAGTTCTGGAATGCATGATAGGATTTTTAGTAAGATTAATTGCACTTATATTATCACCTTTCAAAGGAATGTCACTAAGAAAGATATTATAATATTCTAATTGTTGCTTCATCCAAAGGATTTGAGCACAATAATTTCCAGCCGCTATATATTCAACTTCAGTAGTGGATAAAACAACACATACTTGTTTCTTAGAGTGCTAGGAAACTAAGGAAGATTCTAATAGATGACATGTTCCACTAGTAATCTTTCTATCAATCTTACAACCCCCATAATC